TATATATATATATGAATGTAATATATATGAATTTTATCATAAATAAACTAATTATAATTAAAAAATTTATTTATATACTTGATGTCTTCATTTTCTTAAATAAAGTACATATATACAAATGCATAAATTTGAAATGACCGCATTTCGCCTCTCAAAATGGAGGCGAATTTGCGGTACTTTATAAATCTAATGATTTTACGTGCAGGCGGCCACTCAACAGCAACAGCAACCGCAACAACATCCGCCACCGTCGCCCTTGAGTGGCTGTTACCTTCTCGTGGTGCTTCCTGAGCCTCATACCGCACAACATAAGGACCTCATCCTGAATCGCCTCGCAAAAGGTAAGATGTTTATTTTATGCAAGTATAATTAAAGTTTCGCAACCATATACGCTTTTTGCTATGATCATTCTTAGTAATTCTAGTAACAGGAAAAGACATAAGTCGTACATATGCGGGGACATATGATGGAAAAAAATCCCCTTTTAGCTTTCTATACGCAAAATATGCTTCACACGCGATACTTTGGTACGCGTTATCAGTTTAACGACACGCATTAATGCGTACGATTATAGCTGATAGACACGTGTTTATTGTTATAATTATATTGTAATAATTATTATATCTCTGCGAAAATATCGAGATTTAATCATATATCGGATATAACAGTTCGTCGATGATACAAATGGCATGCTAAGCTTGGTTGAGAATGCATTTTGTAATTGCACATTGTTAGATATCAAAGGAACAAACATAATCCAATGCTTTGAGTTAAATAACATTTTGTTATCTTCAATTTCCATGTGTGTCAAAATCAATTTATTTCTGTGGTTAGTTTCAAATTGATTAGTTTAAATATCACATGTATATTAATGTATGCATTTAATAAATAATAAACTACATTTGAAACAAATTTAATACAATTTTTGAATTAAATTGTTTTAATTAAATTAATGACACACACACACACACACACACACACACACACACACACACACACACACACACACACACACATACACACATATATATAAAATCGTTTGCATAAATTAGAAAAATATAAAAAAATTCAAAATATTATTGAAATCAGGAGATTTTGTCTGTAAATCAAGAAAAAATTATAGAATTTTAGAATAAAGAATTTTTTGCAACTCTGATTAAATTCATGATGTCGAATTATATCCAATTTTTATAATTTGACATTATCAATTTAATTAGTTGCAAAAAATTCTTTATTCTAAAATTCCATAATTTTTCCTTGATTTATAGACAAAATTTCCTGGTTTTTAATAATATTTTGAAATTTTTTTATATTTTTTTATATTTTTTTATATTTTCCTAGTTTGTGGAAACGATTAAATATTTGACAGAGCAATTTAACATAGCGATATTTGCATTTAATTATTAAGTTGATAGTATTCTAAAACTGTGTAGATATAATGTATGTATGTCAAATTTCTTTAAAACCAAGAATTTTTCCAGAAAATTTTGCAAAATTCCCTTTTATTTTTCTCTGATTTTTTTGACCGTTTTCAATTTCCCTGACATTTCCGTGATTTCCTCGATTTCCAGTTTTGTGGCAATCCTGTTAATAGTGCAGTGATTCGTGATCGTAATCATCTTCCATTTCAGCGGTCGTATCACAACGTCGCGTTTCCGGATTAAGATCGCGCATATCCGTCGCATTGCTTACTTCCTGGATGTGTATACGACTGTGTCTGTCTAACGGTGCTCGTCATCCGATTATATTCCTTTCGAGATATCGGACAGGCTCGATGAACAGTTGGTTGCTAGGCGGATAGTAAAACGGACACGCATATTCTTTTTTCTTTCTCTCTTATATGAGAAGAAAATCGTCGTGCACAACTCGTTTATTCCTAATCGTCTACCAATTAGATGTTCGATATCGAATTGCTAATTCCTCCGCATTCGTATATGTTTTTCCCACAGGCATGTATGAATGGCAGTGTGCCGATATAAAGTTTTTTTCAATCGCTCGAGAAAGGTAAGGTGTTTGTAAGTTGCACTATGATATTAATTGGCTTTTATGACGAATATTTATTCGTTTGCGGTTTACCGTAATTATAGTAGTAATGCACGATCGATAAGATAATTCCATTTCCTTAAGGCTCATCCTCACTCAAATCAATCATGCCGATACTGATTTCTTTTTTTCTTTTATAAAAATAGAAGAAGAAGCCAGTACGCTGATCCACTTCCGTAGAAAACCTTTAGGGGCTTCGCACAATAAAAGGAACAGAGAACAGAGAACAGAGAATAAGAATTTCAACCTATCAGAAACTATGTATTCCACAATATATGATTTCTGATAGGTTGAAATTCTTATTCTCTGTTCTCTGTTCCTTTTATTATGCGGAGCCTCTTACACTCGCACAAAACGTAAGAATTGAATATTTCAAACTTTTTACAATATTATTTGCGCTTTAACAGTGCTGTACTTTAATTAATATTATTCCTTATATAGATATGTTTAATTTTTAATTTCAGAAGGCAGCATAGGTACAATTTTTTCGAATATTATAGTCAAGAGAAGTCATGCATTCTTATAAAAATTCATAATCTCAAGAAAAAAAAACTTACGTAAAGAAATGTTTTTAAATATTTTTAATATTTAAAAAAATTTTTAATATATCGTTAACTTTAAATAAAAAATATATTTTCTACAGTAACAATTTTTTAAGTGCAATCAAAAAATTAAGAGGAAATACTAAATATGTAATCTCTTGTATCGCTTTACTATTATTATTATCGTCACGAAATTGTCGTTACAATCGCTATATACGAATATGTGCTTGGGGTTCATAATTAGTAACATCAACGTGGTCTACATATTAAATTAGAAGCGATAAAAAGGAAGCATAAAAGGACCAATAAAAAGAAATATGTCATACATTATGTCCTTTCGATAAAGATAAGTATACATTGTAGAATTTCAATAATAGCAGGAACATCGATTTCAAATTGATCAAAGGGTCCGTTAATAAAAATATTTATATCAATAACTTTTATTACGTGCAACTAATTTGTTAATTAGAATTTTTTTTCGGAATATGTATTTCTATTTATGCACGTTTCTAAGGTACTGGGATAACATTATATTCCCTGCAGTTGAAATAATGGAATTCTGTAATATTTTGCTTTTCTAGAGTTCAGAAAACAAAATTAATATATTAACACTGCGTTTTTAAAAAGAGGAGGAGGAGAGAAAGAGAGAGAGAGAGAGAGAGAGAGAGAGAGAGAGAGAGAGAGGGGGGGGGGAAGCCGACACACTACTCGTGTTTTCCGCATTGCGCCAGTGATGATTTTTAACGACGCGCTTGTCAACTTCGTTTAACGTTTATTTAACAATTTTTCAATCCTTTCGCACGCAAATTCTATAGTCTGCCTCGCCGCGGTCGTTTGCATTTGCGACGATGATTTCGCGAAAAGCCGTTCGATAATAACATCACTGTGTGCGTATGTACATGAGCGCCGTAACTTTGCTGTTAATAGCGAACCATATTCATATAGCGTACATACATACATGGAATTTAATGTGCGATTAAATATTGTATACTCCGATTATGTATTAAAGTATTCCATTATATAAAC